CCACGCAGACCATGCGGTGTCGAGTGCGTCGTTGTCTTTCACTCCTGCATCACGGGCTGCTTTGGCGCTGCCGCCCTCCATGGCATGTGCACCAGAGGGCCACGGGCATGGACATGACCACGACCATGACCACGACGATGAGACAAGCAGCACCAGCACGCTGACGGCTACATTGGCTCTGCTTCTCGGAGCAATGTCGTGGGTCGGTTAATTCGTCATGCAGAGGACTCAATAGAGGTGTGGATGTTCATTCATGTTCAGAGGGAAGCAGGAGGAAGCCCGGCAGTACGAATGGTTCCTATCCGGAAAAAATGCCGGGTCGCTTGAACGCCCTCCTGGCTTCCCATCACGATTTTGTGCGATGTTCTCAAAGGTACATCTTGCAACTGCATTTTCCAGGCAGGGCAACTACTGCCCATACCAGAGGATTGAGTTTCGATTCAGCCCAGAGCCGGGCCTTTCCGACAGACGTGCCTACGAACAGCCGTCAGAAAGCAACGCGAGACTGCAGCTGTTTCGGGGACCTGGTCGCATCGGAGAACTGCGAAAGGAATCCCAAGACGTCTAAAACCGAGTAAGGGTGCTCTCTCCGTGACGCTCTACTCTTCTCGGCTTCCCAGGCTGCGAAAGGCCATCTCTCTAAATCCTACAGATGCCTGCTCACTGCAAAGCTACTACGTCTTCTAAGTTTCTTTGCACAAACTTCGTCGTGGAGCCACTGCAGCCTCCTTGAGACTACGCGCAAGAGATTTGCGCCAGTCCTACGTGTGCGGAACGGGAATGCAAAGACGCTCACTATCCCTAGGCCCTAGACCTCTCACGCTACAGGAATCTCTGAGAGGCAAGAGAAGGGTCCACTGCAGACTGCATCTGCACAGGTCTCGAGCATGCAAACCTGCCCTTGGAGCCCTGGATGCGGGAGGTGCGGCATGCCATAGACTTTAGGGTTTCTGACAATTCTCATGTCGTGGCTTGCGGCCGTCCCAGCGCAGCCAGTCCAAGTATCCAGGTGTTTCGAGCACAAAGTTTAGGATGCTTAGGTTCAGGTTATCTCTCCAGGTCTGTTCTGGCCTTTGAAGGTGTTGTTAAACTGCTGCTACGTGGAGATTCGCATCGAGGACCTCGCGAGCAAAGTGCTGGTATCAAGTAGCCGTGCAGCATTTTTCAATTGGTACTTCGAGGGCGAGTCGTTGCATGGGTGTGCGCATTCAAGATTCCTGTCCACCCGAGCTTCATGTCTTGAGTTCGGGCTTGTGAAACCCATATGATGCAAATTAGATTTGGCTGTGGGCTTGGCAGCTTGAGCGGCTTGGGGTGGCGGTGCAGTCGTAGATCGCACTGTTGTTCCCGATCTCGCTAAGTTGGAAAACTGAAGGCGCCTTCTCTTGATTCGGGCTTGCGGCCGCACGTATCCGATCATGAGCCCCGTTGTCTTGGATTCGTTATTCCTCGTGGTGAGCCACGACTTAATTTGTGGAGGATGGAAAGGCACTCTGCGTGATGCAGTTGCCAATGTCGTCCTGCCACATTTGAAACTCGTGAGCCGAAGCTTCAATCAGAAGCGCGTGCATACTGGACACCTTAAAATAGCCCTGAGAGCGATTGAGTGATCCTACTCCCAAAGCTCTAAAGTTGCAGGATGCAGAGACGCAGCTGCTAAGCCTCCGCCGCGAGGCACACCACAGTGGGCTAGATTTTTTGGACCGATCACTGGGGCTCGGTTTAGAGTTCTGGCTGTGTCCGGCCTCCATTGCCCAATCTGGGAGGCACTGAAGCCCGTGCGTGAGGACGCCTGAGCCTCGATGGGTGGGGCAGAACGGTGCGGGAGCTCGGAGGCTTGGAGGTTGTGGTATCTGGAATATCCAACAGCTTGGATGGTCGCGGCTTTGGCTTGTCGGCCGAGAGAGCATGCGCGACGATGGCGCGAGCAGTTCATTAGAAGAATTTTTGGGATACGCAGAAATTGGGGGATGAAGCAGATGCGACTTACCCAAAGCCTTCAGAGCCAAGAGACAGCGAGAATTCGAGAGATAGCCAGGCTGCGGGTGCAGTCGCCGCGATTGACGTCCTTGTGCCGAGGTACAGCAGATGATCGATAAAACGAAGGCAGAGCGCTTCGAAGATCTCTTCGTGCGAACTCTCGAAGCTTTTCTCATGTTGGCCTCTGTGCTTTTTCTGGCTACGCCGTCAAAAGCGACACGCTGCCAGCTGCCCAGCAGTCCTTGACTTGGAATCTAAGGAACTGCGGCAGCAGAAGCTCAGCACAACTGCCTGCACCTTACCCTTGAAAGGTCGTGCAAGCTGTCAAGGGGTGTGGGACGAGGAGACTGGATTGGCTATATGAGTGGGGGCTGCCTGGTTTGGCTCGCGCTGTTGCCCCCTCGGTGCTCAGAGCTCTTGAGGCTTCCTCGGAGCAGCTGGAGGAGAAAACGATGCAGATGGAGCCACTTAGCTGCATCCAGGAACGGGCTTGCAGGCAAAAAGGAGTTGCAACAGAGGCTAGCGGAGGTGAGTCCGTGCATCTCCGAGGCCCGAGTCTGCCTGTGGGGATTCTGTCGCCCCATCGAACATTGGAGGCGAGCTGTGTGCCTCTGTGGGAGGTCGCGGGATGAGGTTTATCATGGAGAAGAATATAGAAAGGTTATTCCTGACTGTTTCGTGAGGCGAGAGCACTAGCGACTTCGGCTCGGACATGCAGCGGACCAAGGATCCGTGAGAGGCGCAGCTGGCTGCAAGCTAAAACCACCAACTGGCGCAGGAGAAGGACAACACGCCCGCGGTCCCAATCGAGAAGGCCTGGCCTGCCTCCGACACGATTCCATCACTGCGGACATCCATACAAAATGCTCAAGCGCCAAGAGAATCCGAGCTGCCAACTATGCCAACCCACATAGTCTAGAAAATTCGAGTCTTCTATGGTAGAAAAAGCATTCCATAGTACACTGTGATGTATTACGGCTTCCTTGTCAGGTTCGGGCCGATGTCCGTGCGCTCGAGGGTGAGATTACTTCCCTGCGGCGGCTGCTGAGCGACATGCGTGCCAATGCGGCAGCGGCCGGGCATGGGCACGGTAAGTTGGGTCAACACAGTCGCTTTGGGTCTGGATTTTTCGGGACTGGATGGTTTGAATCCTGCGATCCCCATGCCTGATATCGGCCATCCTAGACTTGAAACATCGGAAACCAGTTGCAGTGACAGTGACGGTCGTCCCACCCGCAGTCCGCAGGTCATCTGCAACCACCTGCGACAAGCAGAGAAGTCAGCGGGCCGCAATTGGGCGCCCAAGGAGGCTGTGAGGGTGTCTCTTGGGGAGAAAAAAGCCGTCAATGGCTTTGCCAGAAGCAGGCGGCGGCCTGGGGCCACCGGATGCTGTCTCTCCTGGTCTCCGAAGACTTCGCCACCACCACCATGAAGGACTGTGTTGAGCTTGCAAATGCTGCAAATGTGCTTGTCAAGAGGGTCAACAAGTTTCAGAATGTCAAGACATACCAAGACTGTTTGGAGCTGCAGAGGCCGAGTTTGCTGAGCACATCATCCGGCTTGCGACGGCAGTTTCTACATCAATTCATGATGCCAGGAGCTCCTGAAGTTGTCCCCACTGTCACAGCCTCTGGGCATGGGGAGGCTTTGAGGCTTTTGAAGGAAAAATCAGAGTGAGATGGAGACGGTGTTTTCTTGGCACGTCAGCAAGGACAAGGATCTACGCTTCTGCCACTTGTCTTGCCGAGGCGGTATTAATTCAGCAGCCGTTTCACCGCGATCCAGTTGTGAGCTGCGGCCCATGTAGAGTCTAGAGTGCCCTCCCTTGCGGGAGAAATGCTTCTGAAGTGGGTTCTGAAAGGGCTTCATCTCATGGCTCCCCGAGGGCCTCAGGCTGGGAGACCCGCAAAATGGGGGCCATGGAGCGAACCCCAAATCACAGGGACCCAGACTTCATCTAGCAGCCTCTGGTTTCGGATCGATTAGGAGATTTCCGTGTATTTACATCTTGGTATCACCATTTACGTATCACAGCCGGAGGTTATGCTGGAGCATGATAGTACTACAATTGACATGCCGTGTCACTGAGTGGCCTATGCCTGAAAGGCACTGGCTCAAGAAGTTGTCACTGCGCCAAGCGCCCGGCACAAAAAACGGCATCAAGCTTTCTGCTGGCGGCGGGTGGAGGTGCGGATGATAAACATTCACAGGAAATCGAAACCCTGAAGCCAACACAGTCCAAACTCTGCTCGTGCATCTAATCCTTGTTGGAGCAGAACACCCTCGAACCTGATGCTCTGAACCCAAACGGGTCCAGACTCTCCCGCTCTCAACACCCGAACCTTTAACTGCCTAACTGCCAGCCCCGGACTCGCTCTGGCTTCTGATCCATCTTGGCGTTGACAGATACGCAGCTTCAGGGGTCAGACAAGTCGACTTTTCAAGTCGGATGCTACTACCAGCTGCGACGACTCCACTACCACCAGCGCACCACCTGGCAACATCCTTCAGGTGCCATGCACCTGATTTTGTGGTTTGGGAGATTCCCACCATCTGCTCTTAGGGTTTGGGTTTGCCAAAATGTCCTTTTGCGCGTTGGGTTGGGGTTTGCTGAACGGCATCTCCTTTTCTGGGGTTTGGGTCATATCAGAAGCTTCAAAAAATATGACGGAAACCGGTGTATAATTACGGCCGCCCCACACCAAGCATAGTCAATTTGAGATGTCTCCTTCTCCGGAACACAATTTCAGGCCTGCTTGGCTGCTTGGGCACCATTGGAGTTTGCTTTGTGGCTTCCTTGATTCCCCTGCGACAGTTTGCATGGAGATGTGGCACGTGCTTCCTATGCTATTCAGAGGGTATACGTTATAAAAACGTTCTCGCGAAGCCGGTAAGTGCTAGTGCACAGGCAAGCAGGGTATTTGTTGATGTTAGCTGAGGCCTCCCGATGGTTATTACCCTCCCATTCTTTAGTTTTTATTGCGCCCTTTGTCTTCGGCTGTTAATCAACACTCTTCCTCTTTAAGTTTTTGGGTCTGGCTCCCCAACATGTGCTTTTAGTTTGGATTTGCCAACATAACCCTGTGCGAATTTGCTCCTCAACACTTTCTTCGTTTGGGTTTGGCTGGCTCCCCAGCACATCTTTTTCTGGTTTGGGTTGGCTCACCAACATCTGCTTTTGTGGTTTGGGGCTTCGGAAACAAGTAAGGTTTGCAACTCCCGAGTAGTGGCGACATCGCTACCTTTGAGCAGAGCCTTCTCAAAGCGAAAATTCAGCAACAAGCCTGAGAAGATGCAAGTTCCAACATAAACGGTGTTCCACCAAACTACGCTGTCACTGCGCGTTGGCGAGGAACGCCGATAGTTTTTTGTTTGTATGTCTACTGCTGATGGGTTTGAGTGGTGCCCGGTGCACTGCGTCTTCGAGCGTTTTGCTGTTGAAGAGCTCGAAGCTGCAACCTCTCACAGTGCGTCGACTAGAGAACCGCAACGAAGTGGTCTTGTTGAGGTCTTGCAATCCCACTCATCTAGGCGAGCTCAAGCCATCAAGACAAACAGTTAGGGCTTGCTTCTGAGCGCTTTGTCTCGAGTAGAATTTCACTTGCCCCGGCCCTGTGGATGCCAGCGGAGAGCAGTGAAGCTGATTCAGGTTTCCGACACCCCGACAAGCTACGCTGTAACCCATGACGCCGCGAAGCTTTTAGCTTGCATACAGTAGCCTTGTGTGCGATGTCCGACGGCGAGTCTTCATCAGACTATGAGCAGGACAGGCCTGGTTGCTCGCAGTCTCAGACACAAAGACCCCCGACGGAAGAGGAGGAAGGGGGAACAAAAGCTTTTCTGAACTGTCTCTCGTTGGATCACCAGGACTGGGACAACCTGGAGCGTGACTCCATGCGAGCAGCTTGATATCAGAAAGTACTCTCACCTGGAAACTTGCGATCGAGATCCTGCGCTTTCAAAGTGCATCTATACAGCACTCCGCGTGTAAGCTCCGACCGAGATGCTTGCGTCGAACATTGTAGACGACAGGTAGAAATACTCGCCGACAGGATTATATAGTTTGCGCGCGGAGAGTCCAGCTAGCTTTGTACTTGTCGAAGGCGTCGAGGGCCAAAGCTGGATCCCACTTCTGCTGCTTTTCTGGCTTGCAGAGGCGCTGGAGGCACGCTTGGCGCAACTGGACGATGCCGGCCAGGTACGGAATTTTGTGACAGGGTTTGGGCATCTTCTCGGTTCCGATGAGCGGGTGACGGGATGAGGCGTGGATACTGCTCCTGGTGATGTGGCTCCGAGCTTTCAAGTCCCCGACAGACTTTTTTTCACTTGAGTGCCCGGGCCGCTTTGACTCTCCAGGCACCGCCATGGCCAGGTTCGTTTTGCTTTGGCTAAGCTTCCTGAGTGTGAAAGCGCACCAGACTTGCACGAAGGGGAGGCTCTTTGTTGCCGACAAGGATGCATCCAAGGTTCACGTCCTTGACCTTGATGACGCCAACAAGGTAGTTGTGGCAAGCCTCGACGCGCCAGTAGCAGGAGCACGTCTGATGGCAACGGACACAGACATGGCTACAGTCATTGCGGTTGATCGTGGTTCTAGCGCGCAGGGCTCGGTACATTTCTA